ACTCGCTGCCCCGCGCAGAGGGGACGTCCTCCCCGCAGAGATTTGGGCAGCCCCGCAGCGAATGCCTTCTCGCTTTGAGGAATTTATGCTCTGCCGAATAAAGCACGGGAATGAAGGAAAACGCTCTGCAAAGCGTTGTGAACCGACCATTGCGTTCTGCTCTGTGCTGCGCGCTGACTGGAGAAGCAAACCCCAGCCCCCGGTAAGAGCCCCGCACAGCTCTGGGACCCGCAGCAGCGGAATACGCCCCGGAGCTGGGATGTCCTCCCTGATAACCGCAGGGAGACGCGAAGACGACGAACACAAAGCGCAGCCCTAACTCCCGGAGCCGCCACACGGCGCAGCTGCACCCGAGCCCCCGGAGAAGAGACCACAACAGACGACAACGCCAGGGGAAAGCAGGTTTGTAAGTTTAATGTGAATTCAAGTAGAGGCTTAAAACCCGTGTGGAAGTTGACGCAGAGCTCTGAAGCACGACTGACGCCTTCACCAGCACATTTCAGCACGCGCGAATCGAGGCGGTGGCTCCCTCGTACAGCGAGCAGCGCTCGGCAGGGACAGCGCGCTGCTCGGCCGAGGCCAAACGCCTCTCCGGGCATTTACGTGACATGTTCTGAAGTTATAAGCACCAGAGGAACCGAATCAAAGAACACATCACCAAGCCGGACCCCACCTGCGGCAAACCCGTAACGTCCATCTCCACGTTGCCCCGATAAAGTGACAGCTCCAGCTGTCCGTGTTTCTCCGCGACCGCGTGAGCCTCGCAGCGGGAGGCAGGGACGGGGCAGAGCTCACCGGTGCCTCCCTGCGCCGCTCCCCGCGGCACATGAACGCCCTTTCGCAGGATCCAGCTTTCTGGTGACCCCGCCAGACAGCGTGACACGAGCACGGTGGCAACCCCGCTCGTTTCGAGCGCCCGAGGGGAGGAAACGGCACCGACGCACTGCCAGAGCTCTTCACCTCAACGGGGGCAGACGAGGGAAGGCCAGTGTTTAAATTCAACTACCGACAGCGGAATCTACGGAATAAAAGCACGTCATTTGCATATATAATTATTCACTTAATTCTGTAAAGCAAAAGCTTTCAACCGTGGCCATCGCAACAGCAGCTCGCAGGGGGCAAGGAGACGGCTTGCAGTTCCTGTGACCTGGCGTCGCGCTCGCAGCGGGCTGCGCTGCTACGCAGGACCCCGTCCGGAAAAAAAAACCCAAAGCCCAACCCAAGGCCAAATGCCAATTCTGGCAGCCCCTGCGAGCGGCTCCAAACGCAGCCGCTAAGCCACCACGCACTCCACGAGTCATTTCCCTGAATAAAGCGGACTGAGCCGGGGCCCGTCCAGGCGAGGACGCGCTGCAGGTTGGTGGGTTCTCCTCCTCAGATCAGCCAGCTCTGTTTTCCTCAACTCAGCCTCGAGGACAACGTGACATCGAGTATCACAAACATTTGGATAGATGTGTTGCTTATAATTTAAAAAAAAAAAAAAAAGCCCCAAGCCCTCGAGACGTGGGTGACGCCGTAATGCCCTCTGTTTCAAAGTGCATCTAAAGACTGAGGTGTAAACAACATGACCTCGAGAGCACAGGAAGGTTAAAAAGCTACGTGTTGCTAACTCCGGGTGGTATCCTAGCGAGTGCGTTACTGTCACGAGGCCGTTCGCAGGGGCCCTCCTCGGGGCGCCGCTGCAGAGGCTGCCGGCGTGTGGCTGTGCTAATCCCCCAGCGCGGGGAGCAGGTCGGCTATGCTGTCGACGTAGTAATCGGGGACCAGGCTCTGCCTGGCGGGACAGCCGCTCTCCTGGTGGCCCCTGACTTCGTCCAGGGCGGTGACGCCGGTCAGCGTCAGCAGGGTGGTGAGCCCGCAGCTATTGCCCATGAGGATGTCTGTGTCCAGCCGATCTCCCACCATGATGGTACGAGCCGGATCGATGTCGAACTCGCTCACCACGCAATCGAACATGTACCGGCTGGGCTTTCCGACGATGAAGGCCTCGCGCTGGGCTGCCGTCTCCACTGCTTTTACCAGGCAGCCGGTCCCTAGGGAGGGGACAGAAAACACCGATTAGAGGCTGCGGAAGGGTCTCGGCATCCGCAC